AGCAAGAAAAGTTGTGATTAACAATCAATCAATCAGTGACCACAAGACTAAACCAAATCAAAAATAATCAGGGTAGATACCCTTATAAAATGAAAAACAATTATCACCTACCTGCCCTAAACACATCGACAAGAGATGAAAAATGTTCTGAGGAAGAGTCACTGGATCTGGAAAATTAGCTTTGATTTGTCACCACAGATGCTGCCAGACTTGCAGAGCTTTTCCAGCAATTTGTTTTTGGTTACGAAAAATAATTGATGATCCTGACACCAATTGTTGCTTAATGATAAGTGCTTATAGTGACTTTTATGTCACAAAGCAGTGCTTCAATTTCTAATTGTTTAACTTGTCGTTTCTGGATAAATTTGGTAAAGTCAGAACCAACGTATCCAGTAAGTTCATTTGTGGAAAATTGACAGGACTCAAAAACAGTCGACACTATAGTCCTTTAATTGCTAATAAACTGAATTTTTGAGAGTAAACAGTTCTTGTTGGATGATGCGCCTGCTCATAAATAATTGTCAACTTTTAAAATGTTAGCTGTTGGAGCTATTTAATACATGATCACTTTGGTTATTAAATTGTAGGTTAGATAAGTCAGAAACTTTAATATTAATAAGCATTTTGTGCCTTCTGAAAGAATAATGTATTTTGTATTCATGTTTGTTCTAGTCCAAGAGGTCAGAGTGGCTGTTTTAAAATGTTTCTCTTACACATATTCTATTAGACATGCTAACTGCTGGTTAGCTCTTGCTGGGATCAAATAAAGTAAATCAGAAATGATATTTTACTGTAAATTATTAACATTTGTAATTAACAAACTAATGGTTGAATAGAAAAATGGTGAATGTGTTCAAAATTTAGTAGAGACAAATGAAAGCCCTTGCCACTAAATTCAGCTGCATTTTGTCATATGTTATCGTTGGAACGTGTTCGGAATGTAGATATGTGATCCTTAAGAAAAAAAAACTTAACAGCTGTGCCTTCTCATTCTAATCAAAAATACACTAGTAGCATTTAATATGTATTTACTTGTAACATGCCAAGACAACATTGGCTGAGACGTCTACAGAAGTGTATAATATATTCAAGCAAGCATTTTAAACATTGGGTACAGGTGAGTATGTTGGGGATTAGGAAACTGAACTAGCTTTTTATTTTTTTTCCATCATGTCATTACAATATGAGATTTTAAATGATTATTTTGGAAGTGTTTCCTTAACTTTAAAAAGGTAAAATGAAGCAAATCATGTCAACTGTTTTGAAGGCTACCTGCGGGCAAGCCTGGTTAATTGTTACAGATTAACGTGCTCCAGGTCCTTGATTTGCATGGAAGGTGAACAGTGTTTATAGTTGAGACAACAAGGTGCAGGGCTGGATGAACACAGCAGGCCAAGCAGCATCATAGGAGCAGAGAGGCTGACGTTTCAGGCCTAGACCCTTCACCAGAAAAGGGGGAGGGGAGGGGGGTTTTGAAATAAATAGGGAGAGAGTGGGAGGTGGATAGAAGAGGGATAGAGGAGAGGAAACAAACAGGTCGAAGAGGCGGGGACGGAGCCAGTAAAGGTGAGTGTAGGTAGGGAGTTAGGAAGGGGATAGGTCAGTCCAGGGAGGACGGACAGGTCAAGGGGGCGGGATGAGGTTGGTCGATAGGAGATGGAGGTGCGGCTTGAGGTGGGAGGAGGGGATAGGTGGGAGGAAGAACAGGTTGGGGAGGCAGGGACGAGCTGGACTGGTTTTGGGATGCGGTAGGGGGAGGGGAGATTTTGAAACTTGTGAAATCCACATTGATACCATTGGGCTGCAGGGTTCCCAAGCGGAATATGAGTTGCTGTTCCTGCAACCTTCGGGTGGCATCGTTGTGGCACTGCAGGAGGCCCAAGATGGACATGTCGTCTGAGGAATGGGAGGGGGAGTTGAAATGGTTCGTGACTGGGAGGTGCAGTTGTTTCTTGCTGAAGACAATGGCAGCAGCTCACGTATTAACAGTGGATATACCAACAGTCTCCAAAATCATTTGGAGAATGCCAGTTTGTAAACAGTTTTGGTTTGAATTGTTCATTTATTTACAAGATATTACAGAGTTGAGGTCTCGAGGACAGCTAATCAGCATTTCTACCCAAGTACAATGCTCAGTTGATTCACATTGCTATGGACACAGGAAGAGCCTGTGATACCTTAGAAAACTTACATTGAAAGTTAGTCAACCAGGATTAGAGAAAGGGACAGCAGCCATAGGCTACAAAGCACTGTGCCTCATGAAGCGGGAATGCAGATCAGAGCTCACACTCACATCAATAAGATTGATCTTATGTGGAGTTAAAACCAGCCCAGAAAATTTGGCTAATTTGCAACATAGAAAGCTTTTCTGGGGAGAGAGAATCCTCACTGTGATGAATAAATAGTTCTGGATTTAAAAAGTTCCTAGGCTGAGAAATAACAAGATCCTTTTGTAGCTAAAAATCACCTTGGACTGGTTCTTGGAGAATTGAATATTGATTTAAAAGAATGATGTAAAATATATATGAAAAGTGTTTTCATTGGTATTAAAAGGGGAACATTACATTTTCTGTTTTAAAAGTACGTTACCTACAGAGAGGGTGTTTAATCAACAGAGTTGAGTCTTTTGTTACTGTACAAGTCTTACAAAATGAAGTTCTTAGTTAATAGTTGAAAAGATAACAAAGTTTTGTTTTGAAAAGTTATCCACCTCTACAGAGATTGTAACAATGTTAAAAACAGTTTAGGATATGTTATTAGTTAAAAATACATATCAGACAACAAAGCTCCTGATAGCACGCTGAAAAGTTGGAAATTGTTCTATTTTGCCCATAATATGGTAAACAAATGATAGTAGTGAAATGAAAACCAAAAACCCAAACCAAAGAATCAAAATAATGACATGCTGGATGATTTGTTTTTAAAAAAGAAATTCATTGCAAACAATTGTTGTCAGCTTTGTAGCAATATTGAAAAATATAATCACCATAGACAAAGCATTTCTTGGTTTGATCCTGAGATTTAGTTTTTATACCTAGAAGATATTTCAAAACATAAATCATTGAAGCCTTTTGTACGCATTTGAGGTTTATGAAATTACGTATGAAGAGTTAGAAGTCATTATTCTTGAGCCTCATATCCTAATCATCATAAAGTTAAGGTTGTCCAAAACACTCTTGCCTGTCTCCACTTATGCTATGTCCTGTTCACCTACCACCCTGCTGTTCTCAGATCTGCACCCATCAAGAACACCGATTTAAGGTTATCACTCCTGTTTTCAAACCCCTCCAGATCCTGCTACTCCCCATCACTTTGTAAACCCCTTCAGTCCCTGAAGACTCAAATATCTGTGCTCACCAACTCCCAGCTTCTTCAGTATCCCTATTTTATTTGGCTCCCTAAACCACTCTGGTGGAGGTGTGGGCAGTGTCTCTGCCTTTGAGCCAGAAGTTCTAGAGTTCATTCCCATTTGAGGATGGGATGACCACTGAAGGTACTTCCACAATGTGGCAAGAGCATTTGATGCAGAGTAGTACCTCCTCAAGTTACAACGTCTGGCAACAGGGCTAGTGATCTATTCCAGGACAAATGAGCCATGGAAACTGGAGTGATCACATGCTTGGTATGCCAGTAGATACAGGGGAAAATTCCATCTCTTTCTTTCTTATAGATGTTCCATAAAAATTCTGAGCAAGCTTTTGATCATTTGCCCTATTCCTCATCTTACATGGCTCCAAAGCTAAAGTGGCTTTATTTTGCTCAGTGAGGCACCTTAGGATATCTGATTACACAAAAGGTGCTACATAAATATACATTTGTGTATTTAAAATCTCCTGTTTCCCATTATTCATTTTACCTAGCTAGGCAATCTTCTGCAGTAGTGCTGATTTAGGGACTTCTAGAACTAATCGAAGCAGATGTTTTGGTAGTTAATTAGTAAAGTATTTAATTTAATCCTGAAACATTTCATTTAATTAAGAAAATAGCATTCACTTTTAAAACATTATTTGCAGTAAATGGGTTTTAATTTAAACTGATTTATTTCCTACTAACGAAGTTAGGCTATAATTACGCTGGTTTGTTTCTCCGGCTAATTAAAAAGAGAATTTAGGCGTAACTTGACACGAGAAATCTACACAGGAACGGGCGAAAGTCAACGTAACTACCCAATTACGCCCCCGCAAGAAATTTCAGTTCATTCTTAGCAAGACGAACGTCAACAGTAACCTTTCATCTGGTAAAGGATTCCCAATAGTGGCTCCCATTCTATTCTTTCGTAACTAACAGTCCAGCGGTAGGTAGCATGGATCGAGTAAATATGTCACATTTGCACTCCAGTAGACAGTAATATGAAACAAATGGGCAACTCTGAAATCAGACCAAGCCTTCTGTATATATTAAATGCGTAAATGATAGACAAAATCATGATAGTTTCATGTACCAGCCATTCTGCAGACGTTTCAACCACAAAACAACATTCCCTCTAATCTTCAAAGTAACCAGGTGTATCCCTAATAACCATTAAGGAGGCTGCCTCCGATCGTTTAGCCTGGCGGGGAAACAATGCCCATCCGCTGTCTGGAAATTCACTCCCCAGCAAGGCATATCAGCACGCCAAATGGTCAATCATTTCAAGATCAGGAACACACAAACTAAATGCACACTCACAGGCCTGGGAGAACAGGGTTTATAAACTAGTGTTTGCAAAACTAAGTTGTTTGGGAGATAGGCTTTAGGTGCAACTTTAATAACATCTCCCGTGAAAGGCTTATATTCCAGAGGCGACGCCAGACTACAAAGAGTAGCTCGCAGCAAACTGTACAAGTAACGTGTGTGTGTGTGGTTACAGACCGCGATTGGCAGCGCCTTGTTCTTTCTTTCTCTCTCTCTCTCCCCCCTCAGCTGACTGCCGAGTGAATGTGTGTGAAATGCAACGAACAGCTTTTCCTTCTTTCCCACCCTGCCAGCCCTACCACCCCCTCCGCCTCCCTTTTTTTTACCTCTTTCGTGGTCAGCTTGCAGACATGAAGGCATGTTCTTCTTCCAGACCGGCATCTTCTAAAGGAACTCATTCAAAAAGCTGGCAGTACTGCTCTGCTGTTGGAGGTTCGCCGTTGTCAGTCGATGGGAGGGGAGATCGGCGCGGTCCCCGTCCCCTCCCCGCTCCGGGCTCCGCTAAACGGCGGCCTCGTTGTCAAAGCCAAAGGGCTCTCCCCATTCACTACATCCAGAGACAAACACACATTAAAGGATTTGCAAACTTTAACGGGAAGAGGGAGCGGGGGGCCAAAGCAATTTTCGGAATCCCACTCTTAGCAGGATACAAATGTTACATTTTCTGAACACACAGACATTGAGACCTTTTTTTTCTCAAAAAGAACCCTCTCTCTTTTACACACACATGCAGCTTTTAATCCTTCTCGTGTACAGACCAGATTCTTCCAAGTGTGAATTCAGGTGGAAACAAAAATCTTCTGCTAATGTATTAAAAATGGACGAGTCGCACTTCTGAATAGACGAAGGAAAAATGGTGCAGTCCATTCATGAGTTGAAACGGTCAGTGTTGTGGTGGTTTTTAGGAGCTGCACAGCAAACTTCACATTAACTGGCACGCTCGACTTTTTTTTATTTAGATAGCCCAATTACAGTGGCACTAGGCTGTACCCAGGATCACCAAACAAAAATCCTCACAGCCAGTATTTGCCTTCCCAACTACGTTACAATATTTGCACACCTTACCATTGGGCACAATGTGCTGCCTGTGCAGGGTCAACTGGCCACCAACAAGGTTAGAACAAAAATATTGCAGATGCTGGAATCCAAGGTAGACAAACAGGAGGCCAGGCAGCATCTGGAGGAAAGGAGTGCTCAACATTTTGGGTATTACCCTTCTTCAGGGCTGGGTGTGGGGTTAGGAGGAGCTGCAGTTAAAGGTGTGGGGGTGGGGAAAAGAGTGGTGGAGGCAGAATGGTGGTGATAGGTGGACACAATCCTACCCCCACATCCGGTTCTGAGGAAGGAATACCCGAAATGTTGACTGCTCCTTCCTTCCAGATGCTGCCTGGCCTGTGTTCTGTGTTTCTGTGTTCTTCCAGCCTTCTGTTTGTCTACCTTGAATCCCAGCATTGGCAGTTTTTTTTTTGTCTCTAACCGAGTTTTACCCCTGCAAAGTCTCTTCAAAGGATGCCTACTTTGAAGAAGTTCTTTGCCTCCCTCAGATGTGAAGTCAGTGAGTCCTTTTCTCACAGCCGTACTGCCGTGACTGCTCCTCAGGATTACTATTTAGCTGTGGAGGGTGATAAAGGTTTACTATGTTAAACAATCGTAGGATTCATACTTTAAATCTGGAGGTTATTCCTTGAAAACGTTTCTCTCCAACCAAATGGGAGAGAATGCGTTTTGATACACAGTATGTGCAGTAGTAATGCTATTAATTCAACAAGATAAAATGCATCATACAAAAAAAATCATTTTCAGGTTGATTTCACTACTTTCAATTCTGAAGTTCTCTTCTGAAACCTCTTCACCCTCTCAGTTGTCCATTAAGATCCTTCTCTGGCCCAAACCTCCTCCTTTGACTCAATATCACTGCCTTTATAGATTACACTTTTGTGAAGTTCCTTGTGGGATGACCTGCTAATTATTATCTTCAGAATCAATGACTCAATTGGAATTGTCAGTGGTCTTCAGATCCAAAACTGGTATGTAATGTACCATCATGGTGGGTGCTATACAGAATCTCAGTAACTCTGAACTCGAGATCCTATTCCTACTGTTCTCTATTTGCCTATATAAAAAGAGACATGTTTGGAAATAATAATATGAAGCCTTTTCACACTTACTCCATGACAGTGAATGGTTACCAACATTCTGAGTAACGGAGCCGAGTGATTTGGATAGGTACTGGACAGAGCGGAGTAGTTTTGAATTACTTTCAGATAGATCTGGCACAGATGTAACGGCCCAAATGACCACATTCTGTACTACAAACTCATATGGTTAAGTTGCTTCAGCAATAGTAACATCTTCATTGTGTCTATGGCTTATGAAATTGTTGTCTCCGCTGTAAATGACAATGCCCTTAGGGAGGGAATTTCAGGATTTTGACCTAGCAGTAGTGAAGGAATGGCAATATATTTCCAATCAGGATGGTGAGTAACTTGGAGGGGAACTTGAAGTTCATGGTGTTCCCATAAATCTGTTGCCTTTGTCCTTCCAGTGGTTATGGGTTTGGAAGGTGCTGTCTAGGGTGAATTTCTGCAGTAGATATTATAGATAGTACACACAGCTGCTGCTGAGCCTCATTGGTGGAGGGAGTGGATGTTTGTGGATGTGGTACCACTCAAATGGGCTCCTTTGTCCTGGATGGTGTCAAGCTTCTTGAGTGTTGTTGGAGCTGTATCCATCCAGGCGAGTGGGGAGTATTCCATCACACTCCCGACTTGTGCCTTGTCGATGGTGGACAGGCTTTGGGGAGTCAGGAGATGAATTATTCACTGTGACCTTATTTTGTAGACAATATATTTATGTGCTGAAATCAGTTGAGTTTCTGGTCAATGGTAACCCCCATGACATTGATAGTGGGGGATTCAGTGATGGTAACACCATTGAATGTCAAAGGCCAGTTGTCAGATTGTCTCTTTTTGGAGACGATCATTGCCTGGCATTTGTGTGGCACAAATGTTACTTTCCCAAAACCTGGATATTGTCTAGATCTTGTTGCATTTGAACACAGACTCCTTCAGTATCTGAGAAGTGAATAGTGCTGAATGTTGTGCAATCATGGTTGAACATGTCCATGTTTGAACCTATGATGGAGGAAAGGTTATTGATGAAGCAACTGAAGATGGTTGAGCCTAGGACACTATCCTGAGGAAATCTTGCAGAGATATCCTGGAGCTGAGGTGACTGACCTCCAAAGCCAAAACCATCTTCCTATGTGTCAGGTATGACTCCAATCAGCAGATAGTTTGCCCCCAATAGCCATTGATTCCAGTTTTTCTAGGGCTCCTTGATGCCACACTCAGTCGAATGCAGCTCTGATGTCAAGGGCTGTCAGTCTCACCTCACCTCTGGAATTCAGCTCTTTCATCTAACCAAGGCTGTAATGAGGTCAGGAGATGACACGCCCTGGTGGAACCCAAACTGGGTGTCACTGAGTAGTTTATTGCTGAGCAGATGTTGCTTGATAGCACTGTTCATGACACCTTCCATCACTTTACTGATGATCGAGATGATGATGGGGCAGTAATTGGCCAGGTTGGATTTGTTTTGCTTTATGTGTACAGGACATACCTGGGCAGTTTTACACGTTGTTGGGTTGATGACAGTGTTGTAGATGCCAGTATTGTAACTGTACTGGAACAGCTTGGCTAGGGGAATGCCAAGTTCTGAAACATAAGTTTTCAGTACTATTGCAGGAATGTTGTCAGGCCCCATAGCCTTTGCAGTATCCAGTGTCTCCAACCATTTCTTGATAACACATGGAATGAATCAAATTGGTTGGAGACTGGTCTCTGTGATACTGGGGACCACCAGAGGAGGCCACAATGCATCATTCATTCAGTATTTCTGGCTGAAGTTTGTTGCAAATGCTTCAGCTTTATCTTTTGCACTGATGTGTTGGGTTCTTCCATCATTGAAGATGGGGATATTTGTGGAGCATCCTCCTTTAGTGAGTTGTTAAATTGCCCACCACCAATCACGACTGGATGTGGCAAGACTGCAGAGCTTAGACATGATCTATTAGTTGTGGGAACACTTAGCTCTGTCTATAACTTACTCCTTATTCTGTTTGGCATGCAAGAAGTCATGTTTTGTAGCTTCACCAGGAAGACACCTCATTTTGAGATATGCCTAATGCTGCTCCTCACATGCTCTCCTGCACTCTCCATTGAACCAGAATTGGGCCCCTCGCTTGATAGTAATAGTTGAGTGGAGGATATGTTAACAGAGTTTTTGACTGAACCATAATATATTAATGACTTAGATGAGGAAAGTGAATATGCTTTAGCCAAGTGTGCAGATGACAAAAAGATAAGTGAGAAGGCAAGTGGTTAGGATGGTACAAAAAGTCCGCAGAAGGAGATAGACAAGTTAAGCAAGTGGGCAAAAACTTGCCAGATGTAATATAATGTGGGAAAATGTGGAAAATCACAAACAGCTGGCATTCAAGTTTAGTAGGTAGTAAGGAAGATAAATAGAATTGTGGCCTTTATTTCAAAATGAATGGAATATCAAGTAGGGAAGGTTTGCTAGAAAAATATGAAGTGCTAGTCAGACTACAGCTGGAATACAGCAAACAGTCTTTGGGCTCCTTACCTAAAAGTTCAAAGGTGATATATGAGGGAAGCTTTTTACACAAAGGGTGGTGGGTGCCTGGAACTTGCTGCTGGGGGAGGTAGTGGAAGCAGATACAATAGTGACTTTTAAAGGGCGTCTTGATGAATACCTGAATCGGATGGGAATAGAGGGATATGGTCCCCAGAAGGGTAGGGGGTTTTAGTTGTGATGGGCAGCATGTCAGTGCAGGCTTCGAGGGCCAAAGGGCCTGTTCCTATGCTGTAATTTTCTTTGTTCTTACTCCTTGAAAGATATGTTGGCATTGGATGCTGTCCAGAGAAGGTTCACCAGACTAATACCCAGTGTGAAGGGACTGTTTTTTAAGGACAGACAGTAGGTCGGGCCTATACTCACTGGAATTTAGAAGAACCTGAAGTAATCTTATTGAAACATACAAGGTTTTGGGGAACTTGACAGGGTAGATGGGGAAAAGGCAGGAAAGTGGAGATGAGGATGATCAGATCAGCTATGATCTCATTGACTGGTGGAGCAATCTCAATAGACTGAATAGCTTACTTCTGCTCCTACATCTTGTGGTTTTATAGTCTAACCACCCTTTCAGGCAGTGAGATCTACACTCCCACCACCTTCTGAGTGAAAAAAAACTCTCTTTTACTGTCCTCGTAGCCTTCTACTTCTTAACTTATATCTATCTGTTGTGGCGATACTGTGGTTTTAAGAGGTGTGTTTTGTCCTTGTTTCTTTCAGAGAGAGATTGGGACACAGGTACCGAGCAGTCTATGAGAAGATAAACAACTTATGGAGCCTTTTTTTTTAAAAAGCTGGAACAATAGAAGCAGCCTGAAAGGGTGTGGTCAAGCTCTCACCCATAGAATCAGGGACGTTTAGTTTTTAGTTTTCAGCAGCAGTTGCTGTTGGTGTCTGGAAACTATTTTTCCCTCTCACAATTACTGCCAAAAGCTGGAGGTTCTCTTCCTTGGCTGCTGGATTGCATGAAGAGACAAAATTTGTTTTCTGAATTTGCCTTTGGCCAAGCGTGTGTTTATGGGATGTCACTATATTTGAACAGTTAATTAGTAATAGTTATTGTATCTATTATTTTGTTAAGTTTTCCAATAAAGTTAAG